GATTGCCAATGAGACAACTATCCACCAAAGTTCAAATGAAGTGGATGTAAGCAATTATAGACAACCGTACGGTCTTCAGCAATGCGAGAAACCCATACCGTATAGTCGGATATAAAAGGCCCCGACATGAAAAATATGAAACGATTCAATTGAAAAAACTATCAGCCTAATTTATAACAAAACAATTTACGAAAAATAGATATGACCGACCTGAACCAACGACAACCACTGAACTACAGGCTCCTGACTTGGGGCAGACACATAAAGAATGTGGCGGGGTTAAACATGTTTGTGAGCGCTCAATCCTCCCCTAACCTGGGATAAGAACAAACTATACAAATCAGTTGAAAAAGGGCTTAACTAATCAGTGAACGTTTAGTGTATATTCAAATATATTTAGCTATGTTGAAAGATGTGCATAATGTCAAATTATAAAAATAAATTTTTTTTAGTCTCTAAGTAAGCTTGTGAGATTTCCGCTGCTACTATGCTAAATGGGTGCAATTTGGGCACAGTGACGTTAACTTATATTATTCAAATGGTAAAAAGACCAAATTTAAATTTAATGGCATTGATTCTGTACATTTGTTGCATTTTATGAAATATATATAAATTAATTGAAAATAAAGAGAATGTGTTTGAAACATGAAAGGAAATTGATTCAAGTTAAAAAAAAAACGATGAATATGTTTACAATTAATCGTTTTTACCCATTTAATAACATTAACGTACCAATTTAACTGCACCAGATGTTCATTTCTTCAATCATTTATAATTAAAGCATAAAGCGTGAATATGTTTGTATTGGGGTAAATTCAGTAAATGACAAATTCCACACGCACCAACATTCATTTGTTTTCTTTTTGTTGTATACTTCTTTTCTTTTGATACGTCACTGGAACACGCCAAGTCTCCGTAAGTATATGAAGCTAAACCCGACATGTCCAGGATAAAAGTATAAGCAAAATTGATTGATATGCCGGAAAAATAGTCACTAGCAAAATCCGAACGGACCTCACTCCTATATAAACATTTTAAAATACGTGTTTCATCATTTATGTATCAATATTTTCCTTTATTTTTTTTAACTTGAACAGACATAACTTTACGAACTTTAAATCGATACCATAGATTGTATTGGGTCGCTGCCTTTCATACAGCATTTACATTCCTTTTTAATTTATTAAATTACCATTTGTGCCAGTTATACGGAATAATTATTTACTCTTTCAGGAGAATTAGGCCAACCAGTTAAGCTTGACAAAGTTGATTTGGGTCCTTCCGACCTCAAACGATTAAAAGAAGGATTCAAAAAGCATGGATTTAATGAGCTTGCCTCAGATCTTATTTCCTCCCACCGCAGTATTGGTCCCATCAATATTGATCCTGGGTATGAATATGGTACATCTTACAACTATAATGAGTCAATATCAAACATATGAGTAAATTTTGAGAAATATGAGGATAATGTTAACACACAATACGATGTACGGTATACGTTTAAGAAAATGGCTTATGATAACCAATAAAACAATGGGAACAATACACACAAGTATTCCCCATATAAAAAATCTTAACAGACCAAAAACCAAAAACAAAAACCAAACAAAAATAATAACGATAGTCAGGTCACTGCATACGTCCTTTAGTGATGATCAAATACTAACAACTTAGATATGCTTTATAAGATAGCTAATGGTCCATTGTAAGTCAATTATTTAAGACATAAGATAAAAGGACAGCATACAACAACCAATAGTCGAAAGGCTCCATGCTTGGAAAATAATAAAGTTTATAGTGGGATCGAAGCATAAGAAAACTATTATTGAAGAAGTGCATATATTATACACAGTATCAACAATGTACTATCTTAAATGAATGCATAAAATACAAATCCATAGAGATTTACAAAACATCAATTGTAAATCTATAATCTAAAATTAAAAAAAAATCTTTTTGAATAAATTTAAATCTAATTTTTTTCTTTCTTTCATGCAACACAATCAGATGTGCAAATAATATCTACGACAAGTTGTTACCAGCCAGCATAGTAATTCCAGTCAGGGATGAGTCTTGGACAATTCTATTGAGAACATTTCATAGCATTCTGTCCAGAACACCCTTAAATCTAATACAAGAAATCATACTTGTGGACGATAGTTCCAAAATGGGTAATGCCTATAATTGCTTCCACTTCATTTGAACTTTGGTGGATAGTTGTCTCATTGGCAATCATACCACATCTCCTTATTTTTAAGTTAACTTGTGAACCTTATTCAATATTTGTTCGGCATCAACTAAAAATTCTTTTCTTTGATTTTTCTGTTAAACAATTTTAGTACCAAACATGACTTGGAAGAGAGAAAACGTAATTGTCATCCTGGTAATATTTATCTTCTATTCCTGAACAATATTTTTAACGCCCAAAGTTTGATTTATTTAATTATGCGTTTTGTTTTCGAAGTTTGAACTACATTTCTTCATCAGGAACGCTCAGACATAAACATTTAAAAGACAAAGATGTATAAATACTTAAAAACGCTATTATAGAGAATAAACAAAGCGTTATATGAACCCCAACTCTTTGCAATCTATATTGCAAACGACCAAACAGGACTCAAGGGTAACTATGTTTTTAATGTAGGAAAACAATTTCATTTTTTCCCCTAAATAAACTCCTTTTTGTCAATTTGCATAACGGGACAGACAACGCTTACCAAAGAAAACTTGAAATAAATAAAACTCACTTATAGCAGTTTAAAGATGATTTTTTTATTGGTTTATATTCAATCCAATTTTAAAATTCTTCTGTTAGATCACATGAAAGGTAGACTAGACTGGTATATTTCACATCTACAAAAAGTAAAAATAATTCGACTAAGAGAAAAGAAAGGAAGAAGTCTGATGGTTGCAAGACAGGAAGGGATAAATAAAGCTGAATCAGATATTGTCATAGTCATAGACTCGCATACAGAAGTAACTGAAGGTTAGTACTTCAAATTGTCATAGTCATAGACTCGCATACAATAGTAACTGAAGTTTAGTATTTCTTATTGACATAGACTTGCATTGAAAAGTAACTGAAGGTTAGTATTTCATATTGTCATAGTCATAGTCTCGCATACAGAAGTAACTGAAGTTTAGTATTTAATGTTGTAATAGTCATAGACTCGCATAAAATAGTAACTGAAGTTTAGTATTTCTTATTGACATAGACTTGCATTGAAAAGTAACTGAAGGTTAGTATTTCATATTGTCATAGTGACAGTCTCGGATACAGAAGTAACTGAAGGTTAGAATTTCATATTGTCAAAGTCATAGACTCGCATACAATAGTAACTGAAGGTTAGTATTTAATATTGTCATAGTCAAAGACTTGCATAGAGAAGTAATAAGTAAAATAACTGAAGGTTAGTATTTATATTGTTGTAGTCATAGACTTGCATAGATAAATAACTGAAGGTTAGTATTTCATATTGTCATAGTCATAGACTCGCATACAATATAACCTGAAGTTTAGCATTTCTTATTGTAATAGTCATAGACTCGCATAAAATAGTAACTGAAGTTTAGTATTTCTTATTGTCATAGACATAGACTTGCATTGAAAAGTAACTGAAGTTTAGTATTTCATATTGTCATAGACATAGACTCTCGTACAGAAGTAACTGAAGCTTAGTATTTCATACTGTCATAGTCATAGTCTCGCATACAGAAGTAACTGAATGTTAGTATTTCATATTGTCATAGTCATAGACTCGCATACAATAGTAACTGAAGTTTAGCATTTCTTATTGTCATAGTCATAGACTCGCATACAATAGTAGATGAAGTGTAGTATGTCTTATTGTTATAGGCATAGACTCGCATACAGAAGTAACTGAAGGTTAGTTTTTCACATTGTCATAGTCTTGCATAGAGTTATATTTTCAGAGTGCCATTGTCAAAGACTCTCATACAGACGTAAATGAAGGTTAGTATTTCATACCGTCATTTTCATAGACTCGCATACAATAGTTACTGAAGGTAAGTATTACATATGGTTGTAATGATACAGATTGCAAAAGATGCTTTTAGAATTAGGTTTCTGTCATAGCAAAGTGAAAAGGTACGTATTTAGATATATCGGATATTGCCATAACAAGGGTAAGGTAGAAAGATGCACATCAAGGTGGTTATGCAATTAACATATTGTTAATCTCGGATTATTATCAGTATCAACATTATTCTTCGAATATTGAATGCGCTTTTCTGAATTTACCCCTTATCAGGAACGCTGTGAAATTAAAACCAAGGATGTATAAATACAGTTCAAAGAAACATTTGAACTACTATGTATATGAATTAAAGGGACATACAACAATGGCCAAATTCATTCTAGGTCATCTTTGCCTGAGTGAGTTTGAACCTAAGTTTTTTAGTAACTTCTTAATTTTTCAACGGGAAATTTTAGAAAATTATATAAAAAATCAAGTCAGTACCGAAGCACTTACTATTGATCTGATGATACCCCGGGGACAAATAGTCCACCAGCATATTCAAAGTCTTTAAACGAATAAGCGAAAACGTATGTAATCATACTTGCATATTAAGAAACTTATAAGACCGATTTAAGTTCGTACTTTTCTTGTGTTTCTTAAGCTTATTCGGTTATGCTCAATACTAAAAGATTAATCTAAATACTTATAATGCTTTGAAACATAGGCACTAAAGAGGCGTATACTGAACTGACGAATCAAGTTTGCCAAAATAATAAATTCCTATTTCAACACTGTCATAGATATAAAAGATATTTCATATAAGCAACACTTTAATATATCATTTCCAAGCCTCTGTCAAAGATTTCACTTTTCCTTTTCTCATTAGCTCACATGAAGCAAAGAGCATGTGTAAGCAATCACACACAATAGACGTCCGTCATCTGCCCGTTTTATTTCAAATATTTTTTTTCATTCCTTATAGGATGGATTGAACCATTAATCCAAAGAATCAGAGAAAAGCCTAATTTTTTGGTAGCTCCCATTGTTGATCAGATCTTTCCCGAAACTTTAGAGTTTGACTACAAGAATCCCAAACCTAGAGCTATGTCATTTGACTTTCATTTGAACCAGGACTGGATATTATACAAACAGGAATACTTTGAGTCTATTTCATGGTCCAAACCTTATAGGTAAGTCATGGTTAAAATCAAAATTACCAAATACAAACTGTTTTTACAGTGTGGTTTTCATTTTGTTTACCTTTGTCTTTATATTTAACTTAACTTGTATTATATCGAGAAAGTGTATACTATTTACTGTATGTACTATCAACTACAAAACATTTTTTGTTGGCGTCTTTGTCAAATTTAGTATCAACTATAACATTTTTACCGTTGGCGTCTTTATTAAATTTATGTGTATATGTTTGTTTGATTTTTTTTAGTCAGTTTTGTTGTATGTCTGTGATGTATATTTACACAGTTTTGACAGCTGGATCCCAATTAGTGTCACATTAACCTATTATATTTGTTTGGGTTGCTCACCCAATTTTGTAAATATAATGGACCTATCAACAACTGTCATACAAGTAGGAGATATAGCTAGCTATTAAAACAGGTCTATCCCACCATTTTCTTCGGTAAATGCCTGAACCAAATGAAACCATATGCCAGTTGTTTTCCCTTCGTTTCTTTTGGTTGATAAAGTCTAATGTTTGAGTTTACTTTGGAGTTCGGTATTTTTGATAAAACTTTTTTGTGACAATATCATATTTAAACTTCATGCTAATTTTAAATTCAAGACGAATTAAAAGATGCAGACGTCTAAATCTAGTTATTTGCACATAGTTGTGTGTCTGTTGTATCCCTAAAATGATGCTTCACCAATGTAATATTATAATAGAAAATTTGATATAATTTTAAAAAACACTACCATAATTTATTTTGCCTTTTCATCACGTATTATTTTTATCGCACCCAGTTAATTTTCAGAACAGTAGGAATACAAGGTAATGCACTGGTATTCAACAAGACGTTTTTCAATAAACTTGGCGGACTAGACACCGGTATGAAGGTCTGGGGAGGAGAACAGCAAGAACTCATGTTTAAGGTCTGTTCTGATATAAGTTGTAAAGGCAATACCCTATCTATTCGTACTTTTAACTGAAACCTTTAACATAAGTCGTCAAGTTTCTTTTTCAGTGTCATTCGATCTCATTCATTCTGAACCCCATGACGAATCAACATTATATAACTGTACGACTCAAACTGTTTTTGTCACATTAAGATGATTACCAAAAAGGGAAATTGAACAGTGAATATATATGATGTAAATAGTATTGAACGTTAGAAATGTTTTTATTGCAAGGTTGCTTTTACTTCATGAAGTGTACTTTCACTTTGTACGATATTATTTCTTCCGTAGTCGTTGTTATTGCCGTTCAGTGGATGTAAATAATCTGTCCAGTCATGTTTATTCTACATTGGCTAGAGGTATAAGGGGAGGTTTGAGATCTCACAAAACATGTTTAACCCCGCTGCATTTTGCGCCTGTCCCAAGTCAGGAGCCTCTGGCCTTTGTTAGTCTTGTATGTTTTTTTGATTTTAGTTCATTTATATGTTTCGGAGTTTAGTGTGACGTCCATTTTCACTGAACTAGTACAAATTTTTGTTTAGGGGCCAGCTGAAGTCCGCCTCCGGGTGCGGGATTTTCTCGCTGTGTTGAAGACCCATTGGTGGCTTTGGGCTGTTTTCTGCTCTTTGGTCGGGTTGTTGTCTCTTTGACACATTCCCCATTTCCATCCTAAATTTTATTTGTTGATTCATAACCAGCGTGATATTTTGAATATTTTGACCTAACCTATGGCAAAACGTAAACGCGTTGGTTACGAATTCGAAGGTTTTGTGGTTTTATTTACAAAAATCGACATATATTTTTAGTATGTTATGTGTGGTGGTGATTTAGAAATTGTACCATGTTCTCACATCGGTCATGTATACAGAAAAAGACTTATATGGTCTAATGAGCTGCACAATAAGGCTATAATGAATGGAATGTGTAACCAGTATCGAGTAGCAGAGGTATGGATGGATGAATATAAACATCTGGTCTTCCACAGACTTGGTAACTACACGGCAAGTATTAAAATTTGTATATAACTTTTAAAGAATATATGTTGCGATGTCAATTACTAGTAAATATATGACTGTGTTTAAATTTTTTACTACAGAACAAGTGTGGACACAGATGAATGTGGATAGTATGTTTGGATGTTTGACAGTGTTTTATATGACAAAAGGAGTTCTATGTTTTTCCTATATGGTGTTATTAACTGTGTTGCACGATGACAACCAACCTGAGCATGAGGAGTGTTGTTTATTTAATATTTAGATTTTATGTTCAAGAGGGCATGGAAGACACTAATTGCATTAATGACCAAATGATTATGATAGAATATTTTCCACATCTTTGATTTTGGATAAATTTTGTAGCTAGGAGAGCAACACATAATAGGTTCATTTTTTCATGTGATTTTTTTTAAATGGGAGATGATATCTGAGAACATGATATCAGGAGGCTGTAATTCAGTGGTTGTCGTTTGTCTATGTGTTACATAATATTTGTTTTTCGTTTATTTTGTGTAAATAAATAACATAAATGACTATGCGTTATGGGCTTTGCTCATTGTTGAAGGCTGTACGGTGACCCGCAGTTGTTAATTTCTGTGTCATTTTGGTCTGTTGTGGAGGATTGTCTCATTGGCAATCATACCACATCTTTTTTATATGTATTTGCTCACTATTTGTATGGTTCTATTTATATTACTTTGTGGTGGATTGTCAGTATCATTAGTAAAATATTTTGTTAAAATGTCGAAATTGTTTCTCAGATTAGAAGACATTTATTGGTTTTTAGTAATGAAAATGCCTGACATGATGCTTGGGTCTAGATGAGCTAGAAAGTAAACTTCTGTGTTGTTTTTTATCAATTCTTTGATAACATCTCCTCCAAAGCTGGCCGAAGCAAAAAAAAGTTTTGACCAATATGAAAACGATATCAACAAAAAAACCTTTGTGAGCATGCTTCAAAGACTCATAACTGCTCCAAAAGTAATCTGATAGAATTTCAAGCATGTCAAGTGGGTATTATGAAAATCTACTTAATATGTCTAAATATCAAAAAAGTTGTAGTATTCAATATGAAAAAGGTATTGCAAAATTATTCTCTTTTCAATTTTTTTTGTTATATGGATACAAATATAAGTGATACCAATACAGTATTTGTTGTGGTATGGAAGTGTAGTAATTAACCTTTACTGTAACAATGTTAATTCACACAAATTAAGAAATAAACAAATGAATGAAAAATGTTGAACATGTACAATGAAATATAGTTTTAGAAATCAATTAGGCAAGATAGGCCTTATAATTTTTTATTTTTTTTTTAACATACTGAATGACCATTTACACTCAGGACCGAGTCATCAGTAGGCAGTACAGATGTATTAAAACAACCTAGCATCATATTGCTAGTAGCGAGTGTAGCATTGTCGGGTAAATTTGTTCTTTTTTTTAAATTTGGTTAAAGGACAAAAAATGTTTGGTTCAAATCATAATAAAATGCTTTTATCTCCTTATTACTTACATTGTACATAGAATGGATACTACCCTGACAAATCCTTGTACATGAGAGTTGTCTGTCAAATCTTTATTTCACAAAGAATGAATTGCATAACAATGAACTGAGCTCAAAGCAAAGCACTTTAATAATACACTTAGACAAAGAGCTCAATCCAGTGATATACTTTGTACTACAGGTCCTTCATGAACATCCTATCCACCAAAACCATATCTCACAAACATGCCATACAACATGTACATGGTTCGATCAGAAGTCCTGAAAAAGATATGAATTTTATTATCATATTTTAATTATACATACACAGGTTAAAAGTTATATACTCCAATGGCAGTCTTTCCTGCTAAAATGTCATGTGTAGAATGTGATATACCATTTTTGGGTCTATATGGGTACTGTCCTTTATATTCATTAGGTCATTTTGACACAACAAAATATATAGAAAATGTTAACTTTGATCTGGAAATTGAGTTCTTTTTCGCAAAATAAACCCACTAAAACTAAACTTTGAATGCAAAAGACCCCTAAATGGCTAACAGATATTGCTATAAAGAATAGTCCATGATGATTATTGTTATTAAAGAGTTCATGAAATGTACACTGATTCTGTCAGTTGAATGGACTAGAATGAGATAAGTTATATAAACATAAAGGTTTTTTCAACAGTTGTGGTGTAAATTAAATCAGTTTTATTTTATGGTTGACATATTTAAGTATATATGTAGACCATTGGCTTTTCAACACATTGATATTTTACAATATCGATTATCTATTTATTGTTATATTGTTGGTATTTTTCACCTTCCTAAAACAGTTTTAACGCAACATGAACGCAAGCTTAATAGATCTTGATAGGGTGTCCTCACATATTTTGACGTTGCTGAAAAATTTTGGTTGACATATGTATCCTCTTCTCATCGTTTTTCGTGCTATTAAGAATGCATACTGTCGTCACAATTTCCATTGAAAAGGCATGCATAGTACAAATTCATATGACGAACAAAAACATATGATCTGACCATATACATGTATGTATAGGTTATCAGCTTTTCTACACATATTAGCCAGTAAGCCGCAATGAACCTATTATGGCGAGTGAGTGCAGCTAATGAGCTAAAATGAATCAAATTGTGTCCTCAGTGGGGGATATTTTAAGGGATCTATATGAAGAAAACCTGATCATCTGTTTATCGTTCTATTACTGGCTTTTTCACCTCCCTTACTTGGCCGAAGACAGTTTTTAGACGAAAGCAAGCTTGATAACCACTCCTCACACACATGTATAGATTATCGGCTTTTCTACACGAGTCATGAATATCGTAACATGTTAGCCAGTGAGCAGGCCCGCAATGAACCTTTTTAGCGAGTGAGCCCAGCTAATGAGCTAAAATGAATCAAATTGTGTACTCAGTCACAGTTGGTGATATTTTAAGGTATCTACACAAAGAAAACCTGCTTATGTAAAATCTCAGTGGCGGATCCACAACTTTTCATAAAAGGGGGTGGCCGCTGACTGACCTAAGGGTTGCCCACTCCCGTCATGCTTCCCCAGTGGCGGATGCGGGGGACGGTTCCGAGGGTTGGAAACCCCCCCCTTTTTTTGGACGATCAATGCATTTGAATGGGGACACATAGTTGGAAACCCCCCCCCCCCCCACCCTTTGTCCCGAGTTGGGAACCCCCCTTTTATAAAATGGCTGGATCCGCCCCTGCTTCCCTATAAAATCAATTAAATTTTCCCCACCCCCTGGATCCGTCTATGTAACTGTTTATCGTTCTGCGTAATACTGGCTTTTTCACCTCCCTTACTTGGCCCTAGACAGTTGCTTATCTGTTTATCGTTCTGTCACTGGCTTTTTTTAGACTAGAGACTTCATGTGTTCAAACCTGACGTCAAACTCGTGTACTATAAAAGAAGAGACAAATAATTTCACATTAAATCCTGTAACATTACATCTAAAGATAAGTACAATCCAAAGTAAATTATATTACGATGTCAATGGACTAATTTCCCGCGCAAATGTCATCACTGGGATAGACCAAAACGAATTTTAGGTTTATGTATCATTCACATTCCGATCAATTTACTCAGTTAAATAAAATATATGTGTTAACTATTTTTATATTGGTTTTGAATTTAGTTAATCTATCCGAAAAAAGGATTTATTTCTCGCAGATAGCCCTCAATACTATACACCAACTCGACACTAAAGCTATAAAACCCTAAAACATAATAGTATATGGAATCTTCCAAACGGATTACCTAATATTTATATAGGTGAAATATGTAGATTCAGAATTGTGTACACAGAAATAAGATCAGAAATAAAGCCCTATGTAAGGTGAAAACAATAACACAACTGTATAAAATCATTGTTTATTAAATTTGCTTGCATAAGATCCATGAAGTTAAAATTTATAACGATTACGTTTATCCTGTCAACCCTTTTTCTTCATTGCATCAAGGCTTCCGTTGCTTTACATCGAACAGCAATTCAACCAATCGGGGAATGTTAAGTTGGGACATACCTCTATTTTTGGAAGCGTGATCTTTACATCGAGGCTTGCGTTGCTTTACACCGAGGCCACAGTAGTTCGACCAATCGGGCAATGTTTATTTGGGGCATGTGACCTATTGAACTGCAGGTTTTATAATATTTTAATCGAAATTGTAGAAAAATGAAATGTTGTTAGTACATACAAAACAGAAAATGATGAATACTTTTAGTAAAAGATAATTTGGATCCGGGTTCTGTGTATTCACATCATTTGTACAACTCTCCTTACTGATGCCATTTTTTGGAATTTCTGTGACCTAAATGGTTCGCGAAAATTAATATTTTATTATATATTTATGAAATAGAGAGATTGAACATTTGTTTTTTCTCTGTTTTTTTCATAGTTTTGATAAAATAAGAATAACAGGTTTGAGTATTGACTAGTTGCTTACACGAACCTGTTGTTAAAATATCACGTGTTGCGTAACCATTCAATTTTAATCGGCCATCGATCAATTTATAGATATACCAAGTCTAATGTTTCTCTTGATTTTTCACTTTTTGTCTAAGCTTGAAATATTGATGGTGAATATAGAACAATGATTTGTACGCAAATTAAGCATCAGTAACTATGTTATCTTTTTTTTATAATTTTAGTTACAAAAAAATAGTATTGTTCCCATCTTTTAAGAGGGACAATATAAACAATGCATTTGCGTCTGAATTTATACAAACTGTACATAATCTGAAATCTCAACTCCATTAAGTTGCATCTTATATTTTCCTTTGAAAATGTGTGCTTTTTGGAATTTGGATTCTATGAAATTAATGTCAGGCCGCAGTTGTTGTTTAATTTAAGAGACGTGCAGTTCTTTAAACGTCGGACATAATTTGTTTGCAGTGGAATACAGGCGATATATCCAACAGGAAAAGAATAAGAGAAGAAAACAAATGTAAACCATTCCAGTATGTTATAGATAGAATAACACAGA